CATGCAGGAAGCCCTGAGTTCTATTCAATTCCAATTCCCAGGTGGAGGCCGGAGGGTCAGAAATTAAACATGACCCTCAGGGGGCTACAGAAATGACTCAGTGGTTAAGAGCATTGGCTGCTCTTGCAGAGGTCCTGGGTTTGGTTGCCAGCACCCACATGGTAGCTAACAACATCTATCACACCAGTTCCAGGGGATCTGACTCCCTCTCCTGGTCTCTGTGGGCATCACATGACAAAAGTACACATATACATGTAGGCAAAACATTCATACACATAATAATAATTTAAAAAGTCATCCTCAGCTATATAGTGAGTTCAAGACTGGCCTGGATTGTATGAGAGCTTGTCAGAGATAGAGAGATAAAGATATCCAGAGATGATAGATGATAGATAGATAGATGATAGATAGATAGATAGATAGATAGATAGATAGATAGATAGATGATAGATGGATAGATAGATTGGTAAATGATAGAAGAGTAGATGATTGATAGATAGAGGAGGAAGAGGAGGACAACCAAGGTATCTCAGCTATAGAGAGGTTGAAATATGAACAGACAAGGGGTTTACGTGCTTGCTGTCAGCATGTCTTGGTAGATCTAAGATTAGAAAGCCAAGACTTTGCACTGAGCATGGCATATTTCCAGAGACTCTGGGTGAGGCAGGGAGTCTTTCAGTTATTGAGTCAACAGAAAGCAGGTGCCAAGGCAGGTGTTAGAATGTGAACTGTGTGGTTCTTTTACATTGTTGATAGCTGGACCTGCAGAACTATTTATTCAGAAACTCTGCTCTGGGATATAGGATATTCTTTTAAAATTTTAAATCTATTTATTTTTATTTTTACATGTATGAGTGTAATGAGCTGCCAGCAATTAAGTGCCAGCAATACCAACAGAGGCCAGAAGAGGGCATCAGATCCCCTGAAACTGGAGTTACAGACAGTTGCGAGCCGCCATGTGGGTGCTGGGAACCAAACCCCCTTCCTCTGCAAGAGCAGCCAGTGCTCTTAACTGCTGGGCCATCTCTCCAGCCCCCTAGAATATTCTTGTTTGGGTGATTCTCTGTCATCTAGACTTAAGAGTAATAGTCAGCCAGGCGTGGTGGCACATGCCTTTAATCCCAGCACTCGGGAGGCAGAGGCAGGCAGATCTCTGTGAGTTCAAGGCCAACAAAGCAAGTTCCAGGTCAACTGGTGCTTCCAAGAAAGAAAAAAAAAGAATAGTTATTGCACCGTGCCCAGCTTAGCCAGTTTTAAATGCACAAACATAGCATTAAGTCCATTCACATTGGCACACATCCAATCTACAGAACTCTCTTCCTTTTGTATAATTGAGACTGAGGACAGGGGATGTGCTCAGTTGCAGAGTGCTTGCCTAGTGTATCCAAAGCCCTGGGTTCAAGGAACCTGGGTTCAGTCCCCCACACTGAATAAAACTGGTGTGGTTATGTACACCTGCAATCCTAGTACAGGAGGTAGGAGGTAGAGGGGCACAAATTCCTGGTCATCCTCGGCTACTTAGCCAGTTCTGAGGCTAACCTGGGCTCATGAGACCCTGTATTTTTTTAACTTAAAAATTTCTTACATTCATTTATCTTTGTGTGTATATATCTGTGAGAGAAACAATGCATGTATAGAGACAGAGGACAACTTTCGGGAGTCTGTTCTCTCCTTCCGTGATGTGGGTCCTGGGGATCAAACTCAGGCGGTCAGCATTGGTGACAAGCGTCTTTACCTCCTGAGCCATCTCCCTGAACCCATGAGACCCTATCTTTTTTTAAATTTATTTTTATTTTTGTTTTATGTGTACAAGTGTATTGCCTGCATGTATGTGAGTGCACCTGTGTCATGCAATGCTGCGGAGGTTAGAAGAGGGCATTTGGATTCCAGTACAGCTGTTAGCTGCCATGTGGGTGCTGGGAATCCAACCCAGGTCCTCTGCGCTTAACCACTGAACCATCTTTCTAGCCCCAAGGCCCTGTCTTACAAACAAAAAAACAAACAAACAAACAACAACAAAAAACCCCTGAGATTGAATATTCACCAAGCAACAATATGTCATTCAACTTCTCCCTTCTGTCCTTGGAAACCATTCTCTGCTTTCTGCCTCTGAGAGCAGATGGCTCTAGGGTTTTTTAGATTGGTGGTTATGTACATGGAGATGTTCTTCCTTGCCCTTCTGTGCCTGGTGTCTGGCTTATTTCACTGAGCATGATGTCTTCAAGGTTCCTACATCTGCAGTACAGGTCAGTGTTGCCCTAATACTGGATAATGCCCCATTGTATGGACCACGCACACCACATCTTGTTTAGCTGTTATTCCAGTCTAGAGACATTTGGGCTATGTTCACCTTTACAGGTTATGTGCTCTGAACACATGTATCAATTCCTTATTGAGACTCTGCTTTCAATTTTTTGGGGAAGTGGGATGGCTGGTCACATGTTAGTTTTATTTGTTTTTTTTTGTTGTTGTTGTTGTTGTTGTTTTGAGACAAAGTCTCACCATGTACCCCCGGCTTGTCTAGAAGTCACTATGTAGACCAGGCTGGCCTCAATCTCACAGAGATCCACCTGCTTCTGCCTCCCACGTGCTGGGCTTAAAGGCATGCACTACCATACATGGCCTACTATTTTTAACTATTAGAGGACCCTCCACACTGTCTTCCCCCACAGCTGCAGCATTTTGCAGTCTTACCCACATGAAAATCATAAGGGGGCTTTGGATTCCCCTGGAATTGGAGTTAAGGATGGTTTGTAGCCACCATGTGGGTTCTGGGAACCGAGCCCGGGTCCTCTGCAAGAGCAGTCAGTGCTCTTAACCGCTGAGCCATCTCTCCAGCCCCTCTGCTTTTTTAAATAAAAGATTTATTCTATTTGTGCATGAATCTCCCCCCGCCTCGTGTGTATATTTGTGTGTCTGTATGTGTTTGCTCATGCTTGCAGAGGCCAAAAGGTGTCAGATGCCCTGGAGATGGAGTTACAAGTGGTTTGGCGCCAGCTAACATGAGTGTTGGGAACTGAACTCTGATCCTCTGCAATCACTCTTAAATGCTAAGCCATCTCTCTCCAGCAACCCCACCCCATACACTTTATTTCGAGACAGGGCCTCATATAGCCCACTCCATATGTAGACCAAGATAACCTTGAACGTATGATTCTCCTGCCTCCAGCTCCACAGTGCTGGAATTACAGACTTGCACCACCATACCTAATTTATATAGTGCTGGCCTGGAACCCTGGGCTTCCTGCAAAGCAAGCACCCTACTAACTGAGCCACATGCCCAGCCCACATACCGCTTTTTTTACATGTACCGTTTCGTGCTAAGCATTTTCCTCCGCAGCCACAGAAAGCGCTTTTCATCGTCCTCCTCACATGGATCTTTTCTCTCTCTGGTTTCCTCTTTGGGCCTTAAACTTAGAAAGCTCTACACAACGATCAAAGAAACATTCACCAAGTAGAATCTATTCTTAAAATCTTTCACTTTTCACATTGTCATCTAATTCTCTGACACTTGATTGGACTTTAAAAGCCATTTAACTGCAAAGAACCACACACAAAGTTAGCAGTGATTCTGCCTGGGTGGTGAGATAAGATTATTCTTTTTTTTTTTTTCATGTATTGCTCTTATGATGGAAGGACTAGATATTATTTAACATAAAATGTACCATCATTTTTGCTTGCCCAGTGAACCATAGCTCCATGAGGCCTGAGAGAAATGGAGGCCCAGGCTGTAGAGAGCCTGGTGAGCCCTTGCTCATTCTCGCTGGACCTGTTTCCTCATTTAAAGGAGAAATGGAGGAGATGAGGGGGTGGCTCAGATGGTAAAAGCACTTATCTTGTAATCATGAGAACCTGGGTTTGATGCCCAGAGCCCACATGAAAGTATAGGATGTGTTGCCAACCCCCTTTATTTACTTAAAATTTTAAGATTACATTTATTATTTATTTGTGAACGGGGGTGTGGAGCTTATACCACAGCCTGTGTGTGGTCAGAGCACAACTTGTGGGAGTCATTCTTTCCTTCCACCATGTGGGTCCCGGGGATTGAAGTCAAATCCTCAGGAGTGGTGGTAAGTACCTTTACCCCCTGAGCCATCTGGCCCACACACTAATCCCCTTTACATGAAGAAACAAGCTAGAGATCACACAAGTGGAAGAGCAGAGTGTCACATTCTGGAGTAGAGGGGAGTGTCTTTCCCACTAGAATCGTCCACTCTGGTCTCAACTAGATGGCCACCAAGTCCTGACCTCCAGCCTAGCAAACCCAACTAACCCCTCAGTACTTGCCTTGAAATGAATAGTGTAGTATAAAGTATTGAAAACTGCCTGATGACTAGCAGATACCAGATTGAAGCTGGCTCTGCCCATCCACACCCATCTCAACTTTAGATCCTAGGTACCCTACCAAGTGCTGGGATTTCAGGTCTACACCGCCGTGCCTGGTTTAATGCTGTACTGAGATGGAACCCAGGATTTTTTGCATTCTAGGCAAGCTCTCTACCAACTATGCTCCAGCCCTAGCTTCCTTATTTTTCTTTTTTCTGTGCTGGGAATCAAGCACAGAGCTTTGCACATTAAACTTTTTTTTCTTCAACAGATACAGATAGCTTTATTTGCTAGGAAGGGCATGCAACCTTCCCACAGGCAACATTTTTCATTTTATTTATTATTGTATGAACACAGGCTTAGGTGTGCCATGGCACACATGTTGAAGTCAAAGGACAAATTTCAGGAGTTGATTCTCCTTCTACCATGGGGTTTTAGAATCAAACTCAGGCCATCAGGCTTGTGTAGCAAATCCTTTTACCTAATAGCTGCCTCCCCTGGCCAGCTTTGTTTGTTTTGGTTTTGGTTTTGGTTTTTTGGGGTTTTTTTTGAGACAGAGTCGGCTTATTTTTAATTTTTTTTAATCCTTTGAAAATTCCATACATGTGATGAATTTTAGTTGTTTTCACGTCCCATCCCTCTCTCTCATCCCTCTCCCACTGAAACCCTTTTCTAAATCTTTGGAACACATCTCAAATTTGTGTGTCACCCTTGCACAGGGTTTGTGTTGATCTTTTCTGTATTGTTCCAATTTTAGTATATGTACTCCCAAATTGAGCACTAAATTTAAACTTTTGTAAGACAAGGTCCACTCTATACACTCTATAGCCAGGCTGGCGTGAAACTCCCAATATGGACAAGGCTGGCCTTGATCTCACAGAGATCCACCTGCAACACCATGCCCCCCCCCTTTTTATGAGGCAGGGTCTTGATATGTAGACCTGGCTGGCTAGCCTGGTCTTCCTGTGTAGTCTTGGCTAGTAGTCTCCAGCTGTGTAGCAATTTTCCTGCCTCTGCCTTTTGAGTACTAGAATCACAGCTATATGCCACCGTGCCCCATTTTTCACTCTGTCTCCTCCCTCTCCTGCTCCCTCCCTGAGTGTAGGTGTGTGTCTCTGTGAGGTTATATGCATGTGAGTGTAGGTATCCTAGAAGGCCAGAAGAAGGTGTAGGATCCTCTGGAGCTAGAGTTACAGGTGGTTATGAGCCACACAACATGGGTGCCGAGAACTGAACTTAGATATTCTGAAGACCAGTATGCACTTTTAACTGCTGAGCCATCTCTCCTACTCCCCCACCCCCCATCCGCTTCTTATTCCCTCCTCTGTCCTTGCCTTTATTCACATCCTTCCTCTCTTTCTGGAAGCGTTGGCTGTCAGTGAAAGCAATCCCAGTTTGGTCAGCAGAAGGCTGTCCCCAGCACTTCTCTTCCCGTCTGGTCTTTCCTTGAAGGTTCCGTAGGCTCCTCCATAGCTAAAGCCTACCCAGCTCTAGTCAAACTTCCCAAGTGGGCTGACAAGTGTCATTGTTATTGTGTTACACACACCATGCTTGGCCACATTGGTAGAATGCTATCCTCTGAGCATAAGAGCCGCCATCTTTATCAGAGTCACTGCGACTACTTACAAGAGACCCTCAAGATAGAGCTTGACTGTTGACCTTCCCTCATAGAAGGAGTGGGAGAGAGTCACTGGACCCTCATCTGAGATTCTAGCCCCTCTCTTCCATACCAGCTGTGTCACTCTCTTTAATTGCATGTGGCCTCATGGTCTTGGGGTCTAGGGAGGCATAGAGTATATAGAGGTGGAAGGTTAACTGAAGGGGGGAGGCTTGTCTATTTGGCCATGGGGATGACCTCATCCAAGCTGGGGTGACACTTCTTGGTGATGTGGCTCCTTTGGAGTCACCTTCACTTCTGTATGTGTCCTCTCGCTCGTGCCCTGTAAGTGATCCCAACAAATTCATTGGCTCCCTAAGTCGGGTTTTGGTGGTATTGTACTTTGGTCTGTCATTGGTGGCCTGACTGGGGGGAACGGCCTACAGCCACCATCCTGGGACAGCACTGAGCTCTGTTTACAGTGTCCAGGCTCCATGAGGGCATGCACCTGTCTGCTTCCACTCCCTTGTACTCCTGCACACTCAGGGTCTATGCATGTACTTTCTACTCTATACCAAGGCAAACAAGATTGAACAGGAAATATACTCTTTGGAAACAGACCCTGGTTTGAACTCCTGCCTCGCAATACACAGGGTGACTTCAGGTCACATTTTCTTGCTGCTTTCAGCCTCCATTTCCTCATCTTTAAAATGCAGATGGCATGTATCTCTCTCATGGACTGATGTAAAGAGTAAACGAAATCTTATATCAACTTCTCACCCATGTCCCACTTATTTACTGAGTTTTTTGAGACAAAGTCTCATATAGCCCATGCCGGCCTCGAATTCCCTGAGTAGTTGAAAATGACCTCGAACGCCTGATCCTCCAGCCTCTACCTTCCAGATGCTGGGATTACAGGTATGCACCACCATGCGTGAATCAACTCCCTTTTGAATTTCATTTGCATTGCTTTGCAAAGTTGAATTACTGTCTATTTTGCGGTCTAAGGCTTAAAAGATAATTCTTGGCTGCCTCAATTGTTGGATTTTATGTATCTCAATAAAGACCTTAGACTAGCCTTGGTAGAACTTTGCTCCACAGACATTCATGGAAGGCTGCTCAACTCCTTCCCAGGTTAAGGTCCCCCTGGAGCCACCCCGAGCCAAGTTCCTAGAGACTGCTTCAGGCTTCAGCCTTGCGTCCCTACCTCTGCCTTTCACCTGCAGCCCTTCTTGCTCACTCTACCTTATTTAAACTTTGTTGTTTGTTTGAGACAGGATTTTCCTGTTCACTCGTGACTGGCCCAGAACTAGCTACATAGGCGGTAGTAGCCCGAGTAACCAGAGTTTTCAGGGTACAGTTCTAGACTCAGCCACCCATCTTCAGTCTTTCAAGACTGCCTGGGCTAGCCTTGAACTTGAATCAATCCTGCCTCTGCTTTCCAAGTTGTGGGATTATAGACATGTGCCACCATGCTCTAAGCATCATTTGGATGGGGGAGGGAGGGTGTGGGGAAGACTCAGGTACATAAGAACAGATATAGGCAAATATAGGATGGGAGAAATGGCTCAGTGGTTAAGAGAACTTGCAGTTCTTCCATAGGACCCAGGTTTAGCTCCTAGCACCTGTGCAGGATGCCTCACAACCATCTATAGCTCCAGTTCCAGGATATCTGATGCCTTCTTCTGGCCTCTGTGGGTACCTGCACACATGTGGCATATACTCACAAAAATACACATAAATATTCACATAAATAAAAAATTAATATATTTTTTTTTTACAAAAGACAAAAGAGGGGCTGGAGAGATGGCTCAGTGGTTAAGAGCACTGGCTGCTCTTGCAGAGGACCCAGATTTTGTTCCCAGGACTCATAGTGGCTAACAACCAACTGTAACTCCAGTTCCAAGGCATCTGACACCCTCTTCTAGTCTCTGTGGGTTTGCATCCATCTAGTGCACTTATATATACACACAGGGAAAACACTCATACACAAAATTTTTTAATTAAAACAAAGTATGAGATATTATTATACATATTTATATATGAAAAGTCATTATAAAACCCATTTTTGTATGCTAACAAAAATTAAAAATTAAAAGAAATAAGACTAGGCCTAAGAGGTGCTATGATCTCTTTGTCTCTCTCCTTACTAAATCTATCCTTGGATTTTATTCTACAGTCTTTCTCCTAATCTCACCCCACCCCCATTTCCAATCCCCGAGTAGATCCAGGGCCTTGGACACAGTTACATTCTTGCCTACAAGATGTCTGGTGCCTCCATCAGCTGTGGCAGCAAGACAGCCCACACTCCCCAAGTCCAGCTGCTTAAAGGAACAAGCGAGCAGGTTCATTGTTGCTTGGAGCCTGTGGAGCCTCTGGGTGGTTTTTGATTGACAGCTCACTCTGCATCTGTACTTGATGCTGAGATTCAGTTGGGAAGCTCCCAGCCCTGGTGGTGAGCCTACTCAGCAAGGGTGTGGTCTCAACTGTCCATCCTAATCCTCTTCAGAAGGCTTGATAGACTTCCAGATTGCAGTGGAGTCCTGTGTTTTAAAGTCCACCACAGTTTACCATTCTAACTACATGACCTTACATTCTTCTCCACCTCTTAATGCCCACAGAAGTCTGAATACACTGGGTTTTGCTCCTCTCTTAGAAAGAACAATAAACTTTCTAGAGCCTTCTCTACTGTCCCCCAACATCTAGCTTTGTGCATAGCAGGTGCTCAGTAAATACTTTATGGCTGAGATGGCTAGGGGTATGAGTGAATGGAGTTACTGATGAAACCAAACGAGGTCTTAATGACTGCCTGGCAACAAACAGCATAGCTGGAGTTCCACTTTCTTTTTATCTTGTCATTTCAAGCCTCAGTGAACTCCAAAGAATGCACTGACATGGTCTGGTGGGCTTAGCTCTTAACGGTACCAACGTTCATTTTAATTTTCCTAGCTCTGGGCTGGGGATGCAGCTCACTTGGCAGAGTGTCTAGCATGCATGAAGCTCTGACTCTGATTCTCTAGCACTGTATAAACCAGGCATGGTGGTGCACACCTATACTCTCAGCACTTGGGAAGTAGAGGCAGGAGGATCAGAAGTTCAAGGTCATCCTTGGCTATATTGCAAGTTTGAGTGCAGCCCGAGTTATGAGAGCCTACCTCAAAAATAAGGCAGCAAGATGGCTCAGTGGGTAAAAGTATTTGTTGTGTAAGTCTGACAACTTGAGTTTGACCCCTGGAACCCATGGTGGAAAGAGAGAACAGATTTCCACAACTGGTACATACACACATAAACACACACACACACACAAATTTTAAAAGTTCAAATCATTGGATTTTCAAAATGCTGTTTACACTTTTGTGTCTTTGTTTTTTTGTTTTGTTTTGTCTTTTGTTTTGGTTTGTTGTTGTTGTTTGAGGCAGAGTCTCCCTGTAGCTCCAGCTGGCCTGGGAATGTAGCCCAGGCTTTCCTCAAACTATGACAGACTGTCCTAGCTCATCCTCATAAATCTGGGCTTACAGGCAAGAAGCTATCTTGCCTACCCTTTTCATCACATTCTTGTATTTGATCTCTGCACCAGGAAAGTTATCTAAGGAGCAATTTCTTAGCACACACTCCACAGGTGGAAGCTGATTGGCTCAGCTGCGATCAGGTGCCCTCTGCAGCAGAACGGCCAGCTCTGCTTCAGCCCTGGTCTGAGAACTGTGCTGGCTACTTAGAATCCATTTTCAAAATTTGTTCACTTAATAGCAATTCAGGGAAAGGGAGTTGGGGGCTGAAGGTTACCTGGATGCAAGGTAGTGTGTGCAGAGTGTTTGTGGACCTGGGCCCTAGGCCCTGCTCCACTATGGGATCTCTTCAGGTTCCTTTCTGTTATGACTTCACTGTGGCCCTGCTGCAGTTGATTGGAACACAGTTCATTTTACAGTGGCATCATTTGAATCTCCTTGATTTGAAATATAGCTTAGTTTCTTTGGAGGCTGTTTAACCTCTTTAGTGCCTTTACATGCTTTTCCTCAAATTTTTCTTCTGCTTGTGACGTGCCAAAATAGGCTGGTTCTGGGGCTAGAGAGATGGCTCCATTATTAAGAGCACTTGCTCTTACCGAGGACCCAGGTTTGGTTCCCAGCATCCACATGACAGCTAATAGTGGTCTTTAACTCCAAGTCTAGGGAATCCAACCCCCTCTTCTGGCCTCCATGAGTGTGGACACATGTGGTGCACTTACATACATGCAGGCAAAACACTCATATACATAAAAATAAATTTGAAAAATGCCTCTCATTTTTTAAAAAGGGCTGGGTTCTTACTAGATTCAGGGGGCATTTTGTTTTGGGACGACAGAGTCTTCTATATCCTGTGCTGGCCAAGAACTTTATGTATGTAGCTGAGGATCACCCTAAACTTCTGATCATACACCTCCTTTGAGGGCTGGGATTACAGACATGTACCACTATGCCTGGTTTATGTGCTCCTGGGAGTTGGACTCAGGGCTTTGTGCTTGGGAGGCATTCTATTGACCAAACTACATCCTGACCCCCTGATTTTTTTGACTTTGTACCAAATTCTGGGGTTTTCTGAATCCTGGGGTTCTGTTGAGGGGGAATTTCTAGGTGAGGAGATGGTAAGTTTCACGTGGCCCGAGGCCTCTCACCTTGAGCATGCTCAGTGCCCAAATCAAACACAAGTTTTCCTGCATTTTAATCAACTGCGTTTTCTTCCCAAGCGTATTTAAAGTTTTTCTTTTCTGTGGTCTTATTATAGGGGATCAGCTGTGGCGAAGATAATTGGGAATAATGTCAAGAACCTGCAAAAGTTCGCCTCCACCGTCAAGATGTGGGTCTTCGAAGAGACAGTAAATGGGAGGAAGCTGACAGACATCATAAATAACGACCATGAAAACGTGAAATATCTCCCTGGACACAAGCTGCCAGAAAATGTGGTAAGACTTTGGGAAAGCACATTTTTTTTTTTTTTTTTTTTTTTTTTTGAGACATGGATTTCCAACGCCCCAGCTGGCCAGCAACTCAAACTCACAGAGATCTACCTGCCGATGCTGGGATTAAAAGTACCCAGTTGGATGGCTCTAAGTTTTTGGTTCAAGTTTACCTGTTTGTTTTTTGAGACAGGGTCTGTATAGCCCAAGTTGGCTTCAAATATGCCTGCATCCACCTGCCTCAGTCTTCCAGTGCTAGGATGGCAAGCAAGAGCCAAACGAAACTTCCTGACTCTGAAAATGGCCTTCCTACAGTTAATGTCTTAGAGAGCTGCCACAAAGAATTGTCAGGTTTTTGTTTCTGTGAAAACTGTCATTAATGCCTCTTTTAAAAAATTATGTATGTGGCTGGGCGTAATAGCACACACCTTTAAACCCAGCACTCGGGAGGCAGAGGCAGGCAGATCTCTATGAGTTCGAGGCCAGTCTGGTCCACATAGTGAGTTCCAGGCCAGCTGGGGCTATTGGGGAGACTCTGTCTCAAAAAGGACAAAAAAAATTATGTGTGTCTATGTGTCCATGTCCAGAGGCCTAAAGAGGGGATTAAATCCCCTGGAGCTGGAGTTACAGACTTTTGTGAGCTGCTTGAGGGTCACATATAGCCCAGACTGGCTTCAAGCACGCATGACCTTGAGCTTCTGGTCCTTGCGTTTCCTCCTGAGGACTAGTACAGGTGTATGTCATGCAGTGCCAAGACTTGAACCCAGAGCCTCATGCATGCCCCTCTAACCAACTGAGCTATAGCCTCAGTCCTGGATTTGTTTTTTGTGGGTTTTTTTTTTTCATTAAAAAAATTTTATGTGTATGTGGGAAGGGGGTATATAGTCACATGGGTTCAGGTGCCCACAGAGGCTAGAAGAAGGCATCAGATCACCTGGAACTGGAGTTACAGGCAATTGTGAGGCAACATGGATGCTGGGAACCGAATCTGGGTCCTGTGCAAGAATAGCAAGTGTTCTTAACCACTGAGTCATCTCTCCAGGCCTCAGGTTGTTGTTTGTTTTGTGATTAAATCTCTAGTAGCCCAGGCTGGCCTTGAACTCTGTGTAACCGTGGATGTAGGGATTGCATCTTTAACACTTACGAAATACAGTCTTAAGATGCTGGGGACCAGTGAGTCCACATAGGCACTTTGGTGGGCACATGATAAAGTCCACAGTGGGCTTCTTTGGCAAAGGGGTGCAGCTCCTATTGGAATCCCCCCACTTGTGTGTTTCCCAGTGGCTCCTGATGTCCCTTTTCCAGTGGGAATTTTCCAGATTCACCCCTTAGCAGCTTCTAGAATAATCTGAAAACAAAGCAACCACGGCTGCTTGGTTTGCCAGTGAAGCTCGTTTTATGACCAAAATGTCCTTTGCTATATGTATTCACCCCCCACCCCCTTTGAGAGTGTGTCCTATACACTAAGATCGAGGCACGTTGCTGTGCCCAACTCTACTCACTTCCTTATTATGCACAGCACATGTTTGGTAGAGGTCAGAGCACAACTTGCAGGAATTGGTTCTTGCTAGCATATAGGTTCCAGGGATTGAACTCAGGTCATCAAGCACCTTTACCAGCCGAGTCATCTCACTGGCCCACCAGCTCTTATTTTTAAAGAGGCAGAAACAGGGTTTCACTTTGTAGCCCAGGCTAGCCTGGGACTTACAATCCTCTATCTCAACCTCCTGGATGCTGAAATTACAGGTGGATGCCACCATGACCAATTGACTCCTTCCCTTCTGTGGGCCAGGAGCCCTCTTGTCATGTTCCTCTCTCAGTGCCAGATGCCCAGAAGCCTGCCTCCTTCTACCTGCCCCATGCCTGTGGTAAGGGCTTTCTGCTTCTAATATCCTAAGTACCCATAGTACCCAGCCTGGTGCCTTTTCTATTTATTTTGAGATATGATCTCCCTAAGTTGCCCAGGCTGGCCTCAGATTGACTCTGTAGCCTAGGCAAACCTTAAACTTGTGATTCTCCTACTCACCTTCCTGAGGAACTGGGATTACAAATTTGTACCACAGGGCCAGGCAGATTATGAATCTATCAGGTGATTCTAAGAGGCTGGAGCCTGTGCATTGAACAAGGAGACTAGACTGGAGGAACGACCAATGGCACGGGAGTACCTGAAGCTGGGCCCCCCACACTGACCAACTCCTTCCCCAGGCCTCTGAGTGTGGGCAGGAGGAGTAAAAGCCCACTCTCATGACCCTGTTGATGTCCAAAGCCTTGCAGTTTCATAGCGAACATGCTTCTTCTCTGGAGTGAACATTCATGTGACTTCTGTTATGGAGAGTGCTCCTGGGAACCACTGGTACCTAGGTCTACGTCTGTGTTCTAGCTTGTTTCTCCATTGCTGTGACAAAACACTCTGACCACTACCAACTTGGGGAGGAAAGGGTTTATTTGTCTTATAGCTCTTGGGTCACAGTTCATCAGGGAGTCCAAGGTAGGAACTCAGGGTAGGAACCTGGAGACAGGGCTCGAGCACCAGCTGTGGAGGATCGCTGCTTCCTGGCTTGTTCTCCTGGCCCCCACTCAACCTGCTTTCTTATATAACACAGGACCACTTGCCCAGGGATGGCATCACCCACACTGGGCTGGGCCCTCCCACATCACTCAACAATCAAGAAGATTCCCTACAGACATACATGGCCACAGGCCAGTCCAATGGAGGCAATTGAGGCTTCCTCTACCCAGGTATGTCAGGTTGACAACTAAAGCTATGCAGCAGTCTGGAACCCCAGGTCATCACAGAGCACAGTCCTCTATCCTCCGTTAACAACCTAAAAGGCTCGTTTTCAACATCCATCTTCTTGTGAATTCAAGGAGGGCCATGCACTTTCATCCATAGGATTGCTATTTTTTTATGTTATATTAGTATTTACTGCTGCTATAGAATATAATTATTACTTTCTCCTTCCCCTACTCTCAGTTCTGAAGGTTTTTTGTTTTTTTTTTAAATATTTTTCTTATTTTACTATTTATTCATCTTATTACTTTGCTAGTTTTTGTTTGTTTGGGGGTGGTGTTTCATTGGTTTTGTTTTTTTGATACAGGGTCTCCCTGTGGCCCCAGCTGGCCTAGAACTCACTATGTAGGCCAGGTTGGGCTCGATTGCACAGAGATCCAAGATCCGCCTGCTTCAGCCTCTGTTGGGATTAATAGCCATGTACAACCATGCCTTTTTTTTTGGAGACAGGTTTCATGTACCCCAAGCCGACCTTGAATCTGATATGTAGCTGAAGATGATTTTGAACTCCTGATCCTCCTGCTTCTACCTTTCCACACCACCACACCTAGTTCATGCGATGCTGGGGATCAAAATCAGGGCTTTATGCCTGCTAGGCAAGCACTCTACCCACTGAGCCACATCCCCAGCCCAGTGCTGCTATCTATGATGTCTATCAGTAATGTGCTAACCTGAGTTTCTGACTCCTCATTGCATGGATTCCCCAAACTGCTGTGCACCTTACCCTTATAGAGGTCCACATTCTGGAACCTTCTATGGCACTGACTTTACCACTGGCTAACTGAAAGCTGACTGGTCTGCATGTGTGATTTCCCCTTAGACATGAAGGGAAAGAACACTTGCTCTCTCCTGTCATTGCAAGATCAATTGTTGATCCTGGAGCCCATGTTTAGTGCTCAGCCAGACAGAGGCTCTTTTTTCTATATTCTCTATCTGGCTTCAGCCAGCTCCAGTATGACACCAGGGCTGAAGATCAGAGATGCGCTTCAAAATACTGTTTATCATCTCTCTCATCTTTGTCTTCTGAGCTCTGCCGGGTTTTTAAAACACACTTCTTTCATTAATGTTGAAATCCACAAGTCATATACTTCTGTGGGGTTTTGTTTGTTTTGGTTTTGGCTTTTTGAGAGTCTCATGTAGCCCAGGATGGCCTCAAACTTACTATATGGCCAAGGATAATTTTGCATTTCTGATCCTCCTGCCACCATCTCTTGATCTGGAATTGCAGAGAGCCTGAGGGAGGAGGATATTGAGATTGAGTCCAGCCTGGGCTACATAGTGAGTTTTAAGGCATCCTGGGCAATATAGGGAGACCCTGTCTCAAAACAGTAACAATGATGGGGACACTGAGATGGCTTTGTGTATAAAGGTGCCTGCCACCAAGCCTGACAACCTGAGTTTGATTCCTAGGACCCACATGGTAGAGAGAACAGACTCTCATAAGTTGCTCTCTGACCTTCAGAAGCACACCATAGCACATGGGTGTGTCCACAGGCACACACATACACATTTAAAAATTGAAAAATAGCAACAATAAATTGATTGAAAGAAGGAAATGTCAGGGTCCTTTTTCTAGAAAAGATGGGATGGAGGTGGCAGCACCCCATGTAGTTCCCTTGCATCCTGGGAGGACAAAGGCTACCCTGATTGGACTTCTGTAGCATGTCTGTTTCCCCACCTCGGTTGCAGGTTGCTGTCCCAAATCTCAGTGAGGCGGTGCAGGATGCAGACCTGCTGGTATTTGTCATTCCCCACCAGTTTATCCACAAGATCTGTGATGAGATCACGGGCAGGGTGCCCAAGAAGGCCCTGGGTATCACCCTCATCAAGGTAAGTAAGTGTGTGGAACAGGGAGAGGCAGGTTCCTGGGTCCCAGTTTCCCAGAGTTCACTCCGTCTTTCCTCTGTGTGAGGGTATATTTGTTACCTTTCTCATGGGCCATACCTAAATGGCAGGAAGCAGCTGATGGGAGGAAGGCTGATTCTGGCTCATTACTTGAGGGGATCTGGTTCATTATCATCAGGAAGGCACAGCAGATGTGTCTGTAGGCAGCAAGGTTGAGGCAGGAGCATGTGGTGGCTGCTAGTTCACATCTCAGCAGACCAGGAAGCAGAGAAAGGAGAATGTCAACACTCAGCACTCTTTTTTTTTTTTTTTTTTTTCCAGTATTGGGCTGGGGATAAATCCTACCACCATGTGTATGCTAGGCAAGCACTCTACATTGAACTGTATCCCACTCCCCAGTCCCCCAGCCCCCCTTATTCAGTTTGGAACCCCAGTCCATGGAATGATAACCACCCATTTTCATAACAGGTCTTCCCCTTTGAGTTAATCCTCTCAAAATGCCCTCAGAGACACACTGAAAGGTATGCTTTGCTAATAATGCCCTAGAACTTCTTAAATCCAATCAAGTTGATTATCAGAATTAACCATACATGGGACTGATGAGATAGCTCAGTGGGTAAAGGGTAAAGGCACTTGCCACCAAGCTGGAAGACCTGATTTTGATCCCCAGGATACACATGGTGGAAGGAGAAAACCGAATCCACAAAGTTGGCCTCTAACCTACACACATATGATTGGGCATGCACACATGTGTACACACACATACAATAAATAAGTGTAATTAGAACAATTTTTTTTAATTAACCACATACGGTGAGAACTGCAGACAGGCTAGGTTGTTAGGTTTTGTTGGATTTTGCAAGATGCTTAGAAGGCAATAAACCACCCCCTCCATAAGCCCAGTTCCAGTAAAGTTGGGGGATAGGGGGAGCTGGTTCCTGCTGCCAGAGGCCAACAGGGCTAGTGATGCAGCCCCTTAGGGCACCCAGCCTCCCTGGGGACCTTACCAGTGGTTTGCATCAGCTGTGACATCTCTCAGCCTTAGTTCCTTAGTGTCAACTTTAAAGTGGGTTGGGTTTTATTATTATTTAATTTTTTAAAAGTACATTTTTTTATTTACTTGAGGGTAGGAGTATGGGTAAGTACATGCCACAGTGCCCATGTGGAGGTCAGTGGACAACTTATAGGAGTTGGTTCTCTCCTCCTACCGTGAGGATCCCAGAGTTGGCAGCAAGCGCCTTTACCCACTGAGTCATCTCACTGGCTCATATTATTTTTTTATATTTGTTTAAATTCATTTGGGGGGGGTACTAGAATTCTAAAAAGGCGTGTATAAACTCCATGTCATGGCTTGGGGGTAGCATCTATGTCATAAGAGAGGTCTGGGACCTGCTGGAGAAGTTGTTCCAGACCGTTTGGAGGGGAGTATGTGAAAGCAAACAACCCAGATGTCAGAGAGCAGTAGAATGGACTATAGACTCTTCATTTTGAAATACCATGCAGCAGTGAACAGAAAAGAACCAACATTCATTTTATTCCTTTGTGTATATGTAGCCAAGGCTGGCCTTGAACTGGCAGTAGTCCCCCTGCCTCAGCTGGATTACAAGCATGCTGGGATTACTAGCAGGAATCACAGTGAGCAACCAAAACAACATATAAAACAACTGTCTCTTTGCTCTTTGATTTGGTGGTTCCCCCTGACTCCTCCACATCCTTCCAGGGCATAGATGAGGGCCCTGAAGGCCTGAAGCTCATCTCCGACATTATTCGAGAGAAGATGGGAATTGACATCAGTGTGCTGATGGGGGCCAACATTGCCAGCGAGGTGGCTGCTGAAAAGTTCTGTGAGACCACCATCGGTGAGGCTGCAGAGGGTCCCAGCTGTCAGTCCATTCTTCCCCTCCTTTTCCTCTTCCTCCTCCCTTCTCTGCTCTGGTACTGGGAGCTCAGGGCCTCATATGTGCTAAATGCATGCTCTACCAATGAGCTCAAGCCTTTAATCCCAGTACTCTGAAAATGGAGACAGGCAAATCAGGAGTTCAAGGCCAGTCACCTGCTACATGGTGCGTTGGAAACCAGCCTGAGCTATAGGACGGTCTGACTCAAAATCAAAAAAGAAAAGGGCTGGGGAGATGGGAAAAGTGCTTGCTTTGCAAGCATAGGAACATGAGTTCAGATTCCCAACACCCTCATAAAATAACCAGACAGACATGGCAGTGGATGATCCAACACTAAGAGGTGGTTGCTCAAGGATCCTGAGGGCTAGCAGCCCGCTACTCAGGCACAATCAGTGAGCTCCAAGTTCAGTGAGAGACCCTGATTCAAAAACTAAGGTGGAAAGTGATTTGAGGAAGAAACCTGATGTCAATCCCTGGCCTTCACACCTGCACGCACGGGCACATACCCATACAACACACACAAAAAGAAATGGAAGGAGACAGAAAAGGAAGAGTAGTGGTGGTGATTTACATTTTTCTATGACCTGTATTTCATCTTCAGGAAATAAGAGACAGTCCCACAATGGGTACAGGCTGTGAAACAACTGGCCCACAGTCTTCAGATGTCCACGTCACAAAAGACAGAAAGCTGGTAGAACATCCTAGGTCAAAGAAGATGGGAGATGTGATACCAGACAAGCTTTAGACATTGGGGTGGTTGTCGAGGCTTGACTATGGACTCTGTTAGACAATGTCTTGTGTGGCTGGGCATGGTGGCACACACCTTTAATCCCAGCACTCTGGAGACAGAGGCAGGCGGATCTCTGTGAATTCAAGTCCAGCCTGGTCTACATGAGTTCCAGGCCAGCTGGGGCTACATGGAGACCCTGACTCAAAAAGGCCAAAACAACAAGACAATGTGTTGTGTCAACACTGAGCTTTCTGGGCCAGGGTAACAACTAATGCTTGGAACCCCAGCATGCAGGAGACTGAGGCAGGAGGATTGCTGCAACTTTGAGGCCACAGTGAATAACAGACAGCCAGGGATACAATGTGAGGCCCTGTCTCAAAAACTCAAAAATGAGCTGGGTGTGGTGACGCATGCATTTAATCCCAGCACTCAGGAGGCAGAAAGGCAGAGACGGGTGGATCTCTGTGAGTTCAAGGCCAGCCTGGTCTACATAGAGAGTTGCAGGTCAGCTGGGGCTACAGGGAGACCCAAAAAAAAAAAAAACCCTCAAAAATTACACCCACAAGCAAAACAACTCAGTGTCTTTCCTGTATTTGATGAGAGCACAGTAGTTGTCTGGATCACCTATTCTTTCTCCCTTTCTCTCCGTTCTTCTTTGTTTCACTTCATTTTGTTTTGTTTTTTGAGATACGATCTTGCTATGTAGCCCTACTTCCCTAGAACTCACAGAAATCCTCCTGCCTCAGCTCCCAGAGTTCTGAGATTAAGCCACCATGCCTGGCTTCCTTTATTTTATTTATTTATTTATTTACTTATTTATTTATTTATTTGTTTACTTATGTATTTATTTATTATTTATTTGTCTTTTTGAGACAGGGTCTCCCTGTAGCGCCAGCTGTCCTGGAACTCACTATGTAGACCAGGCTGGCCTTGAACTCACAGAGATCCGCCTGCCTCTGCCTCCCGAGTGCTGGGATTAAAGGCGTGCGCCACCACGCCCGGCTTTTTATTTTATTTTATGGATTTCTTTTTGGCAGGAGAGATGATGTTGGATCCTTTGGAGCTGGAGTTATAGGTGGCTATAAGCCGCCCAACACGGGTCCTGAGAACTGAACTCAGGTCCTCTAGCAGAGCAGTAAGCTCTCTTAATTGCGGAGCCATCTCTCCAGCCCTCTTCATTTTTTGATGGTGCTGGGTATGGTACCCAGGACCTTGAGCACACTAAGCGTTCCACTGCCGAGCTACATCCCCAGTTCCCAGATCTCCTATTGATGACAGTAAGGACCAATTAAACTTTAATTATAGAATCAGGAATCTTGGCTCAGTTGTGCATTCTAGAAAATTGGCATCATTTTGAGCACCAGATAGAAATGTCGTAGTGTGCGCTGCTGCCCCCTTGTGGTGATAGTTCCCTTCATGCTCCCAGTTTAACTTTAGAAGCTGAGAGCACTTTTTTTTCAGTTTTTAAAAAAAATATTATATGTTTATATTATTGTGTATGAGCATTTTGCCTGCATGTGTGTAAGTGCACCACATGCATGCAATGCCCACAGAGGGCAGAAGTAGGTGTTGGATCACCTAGAGCTAGAATTACAGATGGTTGGCCACCATTCTGGGAACTGAACTGGGTCCTCTAGAAAAGCAGCCAGTGCTTTAACCGCTGAGCTATCCAGCCTCTCCCTCTTTTTAAGCAAATATGATTCTATATTTGTTCACAGATGCTTCGCAAGGACCTAACACATCCTTGATATTTAACGTTGTATGTGATATACATGGGCTTTGAAAACTACTATAGAATGGAGTGTGGAGACTTGGCACCTGACGTCCACCTCTGGCCTCTACACACATAGGCAAGGGCACACACACACACACACACACACACACACACACACACGCACGCACAGCAAAACCAGCTGACTCCATAATTACGGGATCTGAGCCCACCAACGCTGTTTCCTATCTGATTCTTACAGCCATCCTGGGCGAACCCAGTGTTTTTACTCAGGAGGAAGCTGGAGTTGGAGGAGGTTAAGTCAAAGATCTGCAAACTTGGCTTCTATCCAAGCCATCTGGGGAACCTCAAAAACTAGCAGTGCTGCTCTGCTCCAGGGCCACAATTTAACTGGTCTGGGATGTGGCCTGGTTACTTACCAATGTTTTTGTCAACCGCAGGCAGGCTTGGGAACCTCTGGCCTCCCACCTCAAGGCAGGCAGAGCCCAGGGCTGGAGACCTGTAGGTGTTTTCCCCCATCATGGCTGGGATTAAAGCCCTAAGGTCCCAGGTTTAGAACCTGGGGAGGGGAGAGGGGAGTGTGCTCACCACACGCAAGTCAGAGCATAGGTCATATTGGGCATTATGGGTAGGTAAGATTTTATCTTGGTTTGTTTTTTCTTTGTTGTTGTTGTGGTTTGTTTTTTTAAACCAGTTTTTCTCAGTATAGCCCAGCTGGCCCACGCTGGCCTCGAGCTCATGGCTCTTATCTCCACTTCACAGACACTGGGATTCCATGTGATACATGCATCACTAGGATATATGCCTGCAGAGGTCAAATGTGTCAGATCCCCTGGAAGTGGAGTTACAGATGGTTATTGGCTGCCCATGTGGGTGTTGGGGACCAAACTCAGGTCCTCTGTAAGAGCGGTCAGTGCTCTTAACCATTAAGCCATCTCTCCAGCCCACAATTGAACAGGGTTTCATGTAGCCCAGGTTAGCCTCAAACCTATGATCCTCCGCCTCCGCCCTCTTCAGTGCTGGAATGACGGGTGTGCCTGGGCTGCTGGTCTTGTATTGATCTTGTCTTGGACCTGTCTTAGATCCTGTCTGTTTTGGTTCTGGTCCTGTCTTTTTAAAAACTAATTAATCAATTAATTAATTAATTTGAATCAGGGTCTCCCAGCTGGGACTCTCTGTGTAGACCAGGCTAGCCTCAACCTCATCAGGATCCACCTGTCTCTGCCTCTCAAGTGCTGGGATTAAAGGTATGGGCTACTATGCCTGTTCTACATTACTTTTTGAATAAGAGTTAATACTTTAACCTCTGCTAGGTGTAAAAATTGACACAGAAAACTGTCACTCATTTCCCACTTTCCTAACCCTTCCTTAGGCAGCAAAGTGATGCAGAATGGCCTTCTTTTCAAAGAGTTGCTGCAGACCCCCAACTTCCGAATCACTGTGGTAGATGATGCAGACACGGTGGAACTCTGTGGTGCTCTTAAGGTAAAGTCAGCCTAGTTATTCCCACCTGAGAGAGGAGTTAGTCGGGCAAGGCTGATGGTAGCAGTCCACTCAGAAAGAGTTAATTTCTCAGTTTTGTTTTTGAGTTTTTAGTCTGTGTGTGTATGTGTGTGTACATGTGCAAGAATGGAAGCAATGTGTTTGGAGAGGCCAGAGGACAGCCTCTGGTATCTGTCCTGGACTTCCACCTGATTTGAGACAGAGTCTCTGTTGCTCGCCACAGGGTACACCAGGCTAACTGGCCCACAAGCTTCCAGAGATTCCATCTCTGCCTCCCTTCCCACTGTGAAAGGGCTGTGATTACAGACATGAGCGTCTGTGTCCAGCTTTACTTGGGTTCTGGGATTGAACTCAAGTCAGCAGGCTTGCATGGCAAGTGCTTTTACCTGCTGAGCCACCCACCCACTGCCCCAGGGTCTGTGTTCTTGGTACATGATTCTGTGGAGAACAGTGAGCCTTGATCTTGGCTTCCTCTTTTCTGGGTGGTAGGCTCCTTCCCATTCAAAGTTATTGTTACTTATAAATATGGGTGAATTGTGATTTTTTTAATGAAATTTTTATTTTTATGTGTAAGCGTGTGTGTGCTTGCTTGTCTGTATGTGTACCACATACATTGAATGCCTGTGGAGGTCAGAAGAGGGTGTCAGATCCCCTGGATCTGGAGTTTCAGGCAGTTTTGTGAACTGCCCAATGTGGGTGTTGGGAACTGAACTAGGGTCCTCTGCAAGAGCAACAAGTGCTCTTAACTACCGAGCCATCACTCCAGCCCCAGTATTTTGTTCTTTGAGATGCTTGGCTTAGCAGTGTTGGTATTTGGCTTCCCTGGGGTTTCACCCTGGAGCCGAGGTTCTACTCACTTTCCTCCCCTGGATATTAATTTGAGTGGGAACTTATTGCTCCTCACTCTGCTCTACTGGTTTCTTGGTTTGGTTGACTTCTTTTTCAAGGGGAAAAATTCTCTCCTGCTGACTAGAGGTTTTTCTAAGAATAGTTTATCTTTGTTCTCTAGAGAGAAAAGAAGCAACTTGGATTGGCCAATGACTAGGGATTGTCAGGAGACAAAAATCACAACAAATTTAATTACTCGGCCAATAGTCCTGTATCCCAAGTATGCAGACAGCAGCTTGCATTCTATCACAGGGAACTGGTTCCTGTGAGCCAGGGCAAAGCTGCAGGTTTTGTAAGGTGAAAAACAAGGAGACAGAAGACCTGATTAGTAACACCAGGCTATTATATTTCCAATTTTTTCTCTTTTTTTTTTTTTTTTTTTTTTTTTTTTTTTTTTAAAAAAAAAGAGACAGGGTCTCCCTATAGCCCTTAGCTATTCTGGAACTCACTAGGTAAACCAGGCTAGCCTCAAACTCGCCTGCTTCTGCCTCCCAAGTGCTGGGATTAAAGGCGTGTGCCATCGCACCTGGATCCTGTTGACATTTCTAAAATGAATTATCTTATTTTATTTTCCGTTTTTTTTAAGATGAAGTCTCGTGTAGCCAGTTTGGCCTCAAATTCACTCTGTAGCTAAGGATGACCGTGAACTTTTTTGTTTATTTATTTTTTTAATTTTATTATTATTATTATTATTATTTTTATGTGTGTAAGTGTATGCCTGCATGTATGTGAGTGCACCTGTGTCGTGCAATGCCACAGAGGTCAGAAGAGGGCTTCGGATTCCCCTGGAACTGGAGTTAAGAATGGTTCATAGCCACCATGTGGGTGCTGGGAATCAAACCCAGGTCCTCTGTAAGAGCAGTCAGTGCTGTTAACTGCTGAGCCATCTCTCCAGCCCATTTTATTTTTTAATTCTATGGGTATAAGTGTTTTGCCTGCATTTATATAAGTGCACCTGTGCATATAATACCTGCAGAGGCTAGAGGAGGATGTCAGATTCCCTGGAGTTACTGGCGATTATTAGCCACCACGTGGATGCAGGGAACCACCTAGGTTCTCTGGAAGAGAAGCCAGTGCTCCTAATTGCTGAGCCATCTCTCCAGCCCCAACCTTAAACTTCTGATCTTCTAGCCTCTACCTCCCAGGGACTGGGATTACAGGCATGGGCCACCATGACTGGTTTATGTGGTGCTAGGGATGGAACCCAGGACCTCATGCATGCTAGGCAAGCACGTCCCCAGCCTGCCTTTTCTTTTTTGTTATTGGGATTGAGTCTAGGGCCTTGCACACATTCAAGGCACTGAGACATACCCTCAGCATTTTGAAGTTTTACTTTGGAGACAGGAGCTCACTACATTACCCAGATTGACTTTAAACTGTCTGTGTAGCCCAGGTTGGCCTAAAATTCACTGTTCTCTAGTCCTGAGTGGTGGCATTACAGAGCCATAACACCAACTGCAGCACTTTTTGTCAAGTGTAAAGGAGAAGAGATTTCCTTATTATTCCTACCCAGGAAGAATAAAATTTCCTGCTTCCGGAAAAATCAGGGCTGCTCTGGACTCTAGTGCTATCCTATTGCTTCAGTCTAATGTTGTGGTACTTGGCCTGAGTGATTTTAATCTGGCAGATCTTGTCTCTCTTCTTGGTGCCAAAGCACTGCCCATCATTTTAACTAACAGGAAATCAAGGGAATTGTTTCTGTATTTGGGTCCTGCCTTTGACAGTCTTGTTCCTGTCTTTCTCTTGTCCTGAGTGGAGAACAGTCCAAGGATGCAGGGCTCCAGCTGCTTAGGTGATCTTTCTCTCCAGAAGTCAGTTGGTTGACTCTACCAGCTATTGGGGGCGGGGAATGTGCCATCAAGATGGCTTAGCTGGTAGAGGCACCTGCCGTAAAGTCTACAACCTGAGTTCAGTCCCCAGGGCTCACATGGTGGAAGGCAAGAACTGAGTCCTGCAAGCTATCTTCTGACCTCCACACTTGCACAGTGGCAAGCATACCTGCCACACACCCCATACACACAAAATATTTTTTTAAGAAGGGAGGGGTGCTAGAGATGCAGTTCAGTTGGTAAAATGCTTGCCTAGCAGAAAGCCCTGGATTCAACTTCCAGCACCATGTAAAGTAGGCATATACATCTGTAATCCAAGCATTCTGGAGGTGGAGGCAGGAGGATCAGAAGTTCAAGATCACTCTTGGTTGCATGGGTTAGGGAGCTGGAGGCCAGACTGGACTACATGAGATCCTGTCTTCTACCACCAATCCTCCTGCTCAAAACAAAGGAAGGAAAAGGAAAATTGTCTTCTCAGTGTAAATACCCCCATTTTATCCAAAACTGCTTTTCCAGAGCTGGAGCAGCTAGGGAAGGAAGCCATGCAATTTGCATCTGCGGGAATTGCCCAGGTGAATAATGAAACCCAAAGAGGGTCTATCCACTGTTTCTCAGGAAGTGCAACTCTTGAAATATGACAATCACTTTAAAAACTTAGAGCCAGTTAAAGACTTGGGCTCCAAGAAAGCACGCATCCACATTTCTATGTGTGAGGGACATTTTTCCCATTGTATACAGGCAAGAAAACCCTGTTCCACAGTCAACACACGGGCGTTAGTGGCTCTGTTTATTTTGGGTGAGATTTTTATGTGCTTTTAATAGTTCTCTATTAAACTAATGACTGCTCAACAGCAGGAGACATCATGAATGCCTAATTGCCCAGTGCTGGCCAGAAGCTGCTCCAAAGCTGTTTTTAAGTAACGAGATATTTTTAGCGGTCAGTGGGGAGATGGTGTGAAATCCAGCCTAGAACAAAGGGGGCCGTGTGAGAAGATTCTAGATGGATGGTTCTAGAAAAGCTTCTGCTAATGGGAACCCATGCTGTCTTGTGTTTGAGCTTAGAATGGTTTTTTATTGCTCCTGGCAGGATGCTTGTGAGCAGACACGTGTCTGCTGCAGGGATAGAGGGTGATAGAAGGGAACAGAATGAGAAGGGGATGGAGGGCCCTTTGCCGTCTTTCCCCGAGGCTTGTCCATCATTCCTAGAGCCTGTATCGGTTTCTAAAACTGAGAAATGGGGACTTTCCACTGTTGGTGAGTCTGTCCATTGCATCCTATCATACAGATAAGGAGACCAGATCCCATAGCAAATGTGTTGAGGGTCCTGTCTTACCTCCTGCCATGCCTTCCCACCATGATGAGCTCTATTCCCTTGAACTGTAAGCAAAAATCCCTTCTGTCCTTAAGCTGCTTCTTGTCAGTCAGGTAGTTTGGTCACAGCTACAGGAAGAGTAACTAACATACTGCCCAAGCCCAGGTATATACACATTTCTTTCCATCCATCTGTAGAAAGGTGGCTGTGATGTTAGCTTTTGTTGGGACTCATTACTTTTCTCGTTGCTGTGACAAAATACTCTGACAAAAGGAACTTAAAGAAAGAAGAGTTTATTCTGACTTGTAGTTCCAGGGGACCATTCCAACTCGGTGGTGAGACATAGTGGCAGGCAGGTCATGTTGAATCCACAGTCAGGAAGCAGAGAGATGGATGCTGGTGCTCACTTCTGTTTCTTTCTTTTATCTAACCCAGAACCTCTAGCCCAGGGAATGCCGCCACTCGTATTAAGGACGGGTCTTCCCACCTCAGCTAACCTAATCAGGATGATCCCTTATAAGTGTGCCAGGAGGCTTGACTGCTAGGTGATTCTAGATACTGTCAAGCCAACAGTATTAATCATTGCATATGGTCTGGTCAAAAGGTTCATCAATTTGCATTTGGAGGATCACAAAGATGCCCCCTATTCCTGTAGGCTGTCATACCTGTCTAGCTGGCACACTTGATAATTCCCATCTGTTATACAAAGCAATTATACTTTGACCGCCTTTATTTTTCTTCATCCAAATGTCTTGCTTGTTTTTCTGCATACTTAACTCCAGTGTCAATGGTTATATGGAATTCTTTTGTTTTAGCTAGAGAAGCTTAGTTTGAACCAGTGTAGTCTGAACCTGGATCATGTTTTCATTATCAAAAAGATTGAACCAGTGGGATGCCTCAGTGGGTGAAAGCACTGAATTCAGTCTCTGGAACCTGGGTAAAGTTGGAAGGAGACTCCACAAGTTGTCCTCTGATTTCAATATGTACACACACACACACACACACACACACACACACACACACACGCACGAAAGAAGAAGGAGAAGAAATAATTTTAAAATAAAAAAGATGGGAACCAGGCATGGTGGTACACAGCTTTAATCCCAGCATGTGGGAGGCAGAGGAAGGTGGATCTCTGTGAGGCCAACCAGGTCTACCTAAGTGAGCTCCAGGCCAGCTGGGACTATAAGGGAGACCCTGTCTCAAAAAGATAAAAAAAAAAAAAAAAGGGAGCTGGAGAGATGGCTCATGGCTCATGTGGATTTATACCTTAAGCCCAAATAGCTTTCATAAAGTTACCAACATTCTATTATAGTTTATTAAGTGGGAGCTTAAGAGAGAACAGAGCCATGCTGTTTGAGTCAAACATGGAGGTTGGCCACATGACAGACAAGCAGTCACGTGGTAGGGAGGGAGCTTTAGAGAAAGAATAACAACAAAGAATAACAAAGCTCAGAGTACCAGAGAAAGCATGCTTGGCTCTGGCGGGCATCCAGAAGAAAGACAGAAGAGAGGGAAAGTTACACTTTTCTGAGTTAGGATCCAGAAGCAGGAAGACCCAGCCGAACCTCATGGAAGCTCCATAGCAACTGCTGAGGGAGCACTCTCTGGCCCTCACTGTGCCTGGATGTGGCTGCTCTCACTTAGCTGAAGTTTGGTGCCAGGCTCGTGCCTGCCACCTCTTCACCCAGTTGCACAGATCTGCCTGATGATCATACATATCTTTTGTTGTTGTTAATTGTTTTGAGACAGTCTCCTTGTAACCCCAGCAAGCCTGGAACTTGTTATGTAGACCAGGCTGGCCTCAAACTCAGAGATTTACCTGTCTCTTCCTCCTGAGTGCTGAGATTAAAGGTGTGTGTCACCACACACACCTCAGAAGCAATCTTATTCTTGATTTCTAAGAAAACCTATTAGAGAGAGCCCAGTTGAAGTTGGTAAGGGGCAGGGTATTCTTAATGACCAGGGGGCCTGCACTCTACTTAAGGGGTATCTCTTGCCTTCTGTTTCTCTCATTCTGGTATCAGGCCTGGCTGCAAATCTCCAGACTGTGCAGGAGACTCTCACATTTGGTGGCAGGGTGCAGGGAATCCTCAAGGCCTGGGTCCCACAGAACCTAATTTCAATCCCCCGCCGACTACCTTTCATGGCCTGTCTCCCAGCTCTGTAGGCACTGCCCTCTGTCTGGTTCTCCTGGTCTCTGAGGTTTGGATTTGGGAATTGGAATAAGTGGTATAGAGCCACTGCACAACAGAAAAGGTTGATACACACCCCCTAAGGAGTGGGTTCTGAGTGGATTATGCCCACCCAAGACCCCCAAAGCAGGCTCTCCTGGACATCCCCCATCCTAGGCCACATTCAGCACCTGGAGCTGATATGGTAAGCCCCCTAGTACCCTACATTGGGAGGTAATCTCCAGGCCATGGTGAGTAGCCGTCAAAGTGCAGCCTGGCCCTTCCTGTGGTAAGGGCCTCTCCTGCTCTCTGCCTCTTGCTCTGGACAGCAGTCATCCCCAGGACAACAGTCATCGTGAGCTATGGATGGATTTCTGGGCTTCATCCTTGTAAATCAGCTCGGGGACTCCATGGACTCGGGTCTCCTGGCATCTTTATCAGTCTCTAATTAAAGTAAGAGTTTTGTAAAATTAAAAATTCAGGGCCGGGGCTGTAGCTCAGCTAGTAGAATGCTTGTGTAGCATGCACAAAGTCCTCTAGTACCACATAAACTGGGAAACAGGGTGCACACTTGTAATCTCAGCACTTGGGAGGTGGAAGCAAGAAGAGCAGGAGTTTTGAGTCATCCTTGTCTACATAGTGAGTTTGAGGTCAGCCTGGGCTATAGGAGATCCTATCTCAAAAGACAGTGTACACACCTTTAATCCCAGCACTCTAGAGGCAAAGGCAGGTGGAGCTCTGCAAGATTGAAACCAGCCTGGTCTACATAAGGAGTTCCAGGCCAGCTGGGACTACAGGGAGACCCTGACTCAAAAATACCAAAAAAGAAAAGAAAAAAAAATCAAATGTAGTAGTACTCACCTATAATCCCAGGACTACTGGAAGGTTGACATAGGAGAATCACAAGTCCAAGGCCAGCCTGGACCATATACACAGTAAGTTCCTGTCTTGAAAAAAAAAGTTTGGAGTTACAATAGCAGCTTTGCAGCCCCAGTGGCCTCAATTGGCACCACATTGGATGGAGAAGGTATATAACAATTCAGGGGATGGTCCAGTTTAGTAACCTGATAAAGAATTGAGGGGAAAAATGCTCTTGGGGTGGATGATTGCCTCTGATAACTTTAATAACCCAGGACCTGAGGAATGGCATAAGCATGTCTGTCTTCTGAAAACCATCGTATATTAAGCTGCAGCTGGTTTAGCACAGATTTGCACGTGCAGGGGATCATGATAACTTTCATAGTTGAGTGATCTCAAAGGACATCTGCTTGAATGCTGTTCAAACATGCTCTGGCTGGCTTTCTGTTTATCTTTCTTTTGATGTTGTTAAGTGATGAGATGGAGCATGCAAGATTTCAGGGCCCGTCATGAGGAGATTTGTTGGATGGGGTCCAGGGTCCATTAAGAAGAGAGTTACCCTGCAGTGGCCCCCTAGTGGGGAGGGTAGCTGACTCTTGGAAGCTCTGTGGCAGTCCAGACTCCTGCTGGGACGGAGTCTCAAAGCCTCACCACCACCCTTCTCTGCCTTCTTCCTCATCCGCCTTTTCTGGGAGTGCAGCCACATGGAAGGACTGCTCATATAGTCCTGCTTAGCCAGTTGACATAGAGCTCCTGCCAAATCTTTTCGACTGAGTGGGCCAGCTCTTCCTGTGAGCGTTTGCCCAGACTCTGAGGAGCCTCTCTGGGTCTTTCACCCTCTGGGTCTTGGTATGGTGTATCTCCTCTGGCAAGCTGCTTACCCTGTGTGCCTCAGTTTCCTTACTTCTCACTATGCATGATAAATGGGCCTACCTTGTGAGAAATCATGAAGTTTACATTTGTTTTATGTGTGTTTTATTTGCATGTAATTAAGTATACCATGTATACAATACCTGTGGAAACCAGAAGAGGGCATCAGATCTCCTGGAACTGGAGTTATTGGCAGTTGTCAGCCACCATGTGGGTGCTGGGAACTGAACCCAGGTCCTCTGCAAGAGCAGCTACTTCCTAACTGCTGAATCATCTCTCCAGCCCAATGCGGCAAGTTCTTTTACCCAATGAGCAATTTCTCCAGCCTTTGAGATTTAATTGAGTTAATACATGAGGCACTTAGAGTCATCCAATAAAGTTAGCTCTTGCTGTTTTTGTTACTTTTCCGTGTCTTTTCTTGTCTTGTACTGCCCTTTGACCTCCCCTGTACCTGAGAAGCTACTGAGGGAAACATGGCCCCTCAACCTAGAATTGCAGGAGGTGAGGAGGTCTCTCCTGCCTAGGAGGAAAGAGGACAGGTTTCCTGGACATTGAACTCAGTGAGGCACAAAGGACACACTGTATCTATGGGTTGGGCTCAGGGGCCAGGCCCGCCTCCCTCTCACCTGGAAGGTATCCTTGGCAAGTCAGAGCACCTGGGATATGAGTGTGAGCCATGCACACCTCAGATCGTCCTGGGCCTGGTGTGGCTACACCTTTGCAGAGGTTCTTGAAGCATGGATTCCCTGTTATCTCCCATTCATCCCATAGGCACTTCCTAGGGTTGGTTTGTCAGCTCATCATCCAGAAGAGGTCAAATTGTGATAGATGGGGACATAGATGTAGCCCGGGAGAGCTATATTTATCTTTATCTTTTTAAAATTTTTTATTTGTTTGTTTATTATTTATTTTTTCTTGAGACTAGATCTCAGGATGTAGCTCTAGTTGGTCTGGAACTTGCTAGGTAGACCAGGCTGGCCTTGAACTCACAGAGCTCTGCCTGCCTCTGCTTCCCAAGTGTTGGGATTAATGGTGTGAACCACCAGTTCCAGTTTAACACTCAGTCTTAATAACAACAACTTAAAAGGCAAACTAGTTTGTCCAGAGAGAATCCACCCATGGACTGCTGTCAGCTGACATCACTCTCTGGCTAATGTTCTTCCCACTGTCACATACCTCCCCCCACACCGCCACACTGAGCCACATCCAGGCTCTGGGTAGAGCTGTGTGTGCTCTAGTGTCACCTTGACTTTGTTCCTCTACAGAACATCGTTGCTGTGGGAGCTGGCTTTTGTGACGGTCTCCGCTGTGGGGACAACACGAAGGCAGCCGTCATCCGCCTGGGCCTCATGGAAATGATCGCTTTCGCCAGGATCTTCTGCAAGGGCCAGGTGTCCACAGCCACCTTCCTGGAGAGCTGTGGGGTAGCAGACCTCATCACCACCTGCTACGGAGGGAGGAACCGCAAGGTGGCTGAGGCCTTCGCCAGGACTGGGAAGGTATACTGAGTCTGTTCTGCCTGACACTGCCCCCTCCTTCCTCATCTGAGACCCCTCCCCCAGACTGGGGAAAGTGAGGCCTGTCCCCCAAAGGATTGACAATAACATTGACACCTGTTCTGTTTATCCTTGAAGCATTCACTTGACTGCTCTGCCTCTTGAATTCCCTCATCTTTCTTTTCTTTTAAAATTTTACTTTAATGTATGGTGCTAGTAAGATGACTCAGTGGTTAAAAGTACTGGCTGCTCTTGTAGAGGACCCCATTTAGGTTCCCAGCACCCACATGGCGGCTAACAACCACCTGTAACTCCAGTTCCAAGGGATCCCATACCCTCTTCTGGCTTCTACAGGCATCGCATACTCATGGCGCACTAACCTACATACAGGCAAAACACTTATACACATAAATTTAAGTGGGTGTGGTGGTGCACACTTTTAATCTCAGCAAATCAGACCTTAATCTCACAGAGATCAAGGCCAGCCTGGTCTACATAGCAAGTTCCAGACAGGGCGACTCTGTCTCAAAACAACAAACAAAACAAAAAACAAAAAATCTAGAAGCTAAGGCAATGGGGAGATGGCTCAGTTGGTAAGTGTTTGCCATACAAACATGAGGGTCTCAGTTTGGATGCCCAGCACCCACATAAAATGTTGGGTGCAGAGGTGTATACCTGTAATTTCAGTGCTGGAGAGGTAGAGACAGGGGATTGCCCCAGGGCTTACTGGGCAGCCAAGCTAGCTAAGTTGGTGAACCTTCAGGTTTAATGACCTTGTCAAAAAAAAAAAAATAGACAAGATGGAGAGCAACTGAGGAAGACACTTAACATCAACCTCTTGCCTCTACATGCATGTATACACACGTGAACAAACACGTACACAAGCATGCACATACACAATTAGAAGCTAAGATCTACATATGAGAGAGAACATGTATTATTGGTCTTTCTGAGCCTGGGTTACCTCACTTCATGTAACATTTTCCAGCTCCATCCATTTATCACTCTTTCCTTGGCTGGAAACAAGCCCTCCTCCCTCTCTCCTTGTGAAATAAACATCTCTCAAGTCTTTACCATCAAGTCTTTCATTCTTTGCTTTAAGACCATTGAAGAACTGGAGAAGGAGATGCTGAATGGACAGAAGCTCCAGGGCCCACAGACATCTGCTGAAGTCTATCGCATCCTCAAACAGAAGGGGCTGCTTGACAAGTGAGTTCCCAGGCGGCTGAGGGCAGCTGCTCATCCAGCATACCTAGGACCTGACTAGATCAGTTTAGTCCTTGCTGTGACACGAACATCTCCAGGGGAAATGTCTAGTTACACAAAACCAGGTTCATTGAGAAATAAAGCATGGTATAGGCTGGGCAGGGAGGCAGAGGCAAGCAGAACTCTGCGAGTTTGAGGCCAGCCTGATCCACAAAGGAAGTTCCAGGCCAGCTAGGGCTACTAGGAGACCCTGTCTCAAAAAATATATGTGTGTGTGTGTGTGTGTGTGTGTGTGTGTGTGTGTGACTTTTTACTGTTTTAAATTTTTTATTTATCTTATGTATGTATGAGTGTTATGCCTGCATGTGTATAAGTGCACCCATGTCATGCAGTGCCTGTGGAGGACAGAATAGGGCATCAGATCAGATTACCTGGAACTGGAGTTACTGATTGTTGTTAGCCACCATGTGGGTCCTGGGAGTTGAACCCAGGTCTTCTGTAAGAATAGCCAGTGCTTGGGGCTGGAGAGATGGCTCAGCGGTTAAGAACACTGGTTGTTCTTGCAGAAGAGCTGGGTTCAAATCCCAACACTCACATGGCATCTGACAACTGTCCGTAACTCCAGTCCCAGGGGATCTGACAGCCTCTTCTGAACTCTGCAGGCATTGCACGAAACAGGTGCACTTACCTACATTCAGGCAATACACACATACACATAAAATAAAAATAATAAATAAAATTAAAGAATAGCCAGTGCTCTTAACTACTGAGCCATCTCTCCAATCCCTATTTATTTTTAAACATTTATTCATGTGTATGAGTGTTTTCTCTGCATGTATATGAGTGCACCCATGGGTTCAGTGCCAACAAAGGCCAGAAGAGGGTGTCAGATTCCCTGGAATGTGAATTACAAATGTTGTTAGTTACAATGTGGGTACCCAGGTCTTTGGCAAGAATAACCACTGCAAAGAATAACCACACTGCAAAGTTGAATAACCAAAAGAAAATTTGCAAAATAAGTCTCATAATGTTTTATGTAAGTTTGCAGTTTTGTGATGAACTACATTCTTGGCCATCCTGAGTTGCATCAGGCATGCTTGCTACATTCTACATTGTTCCACAGGGAGTTTGGGAAAAGCTATATGTTGCTAAGTTTCAAATTTTCCAAAATGGTTACTTTTTGGTTTTTTAATGAAAAGATATATTCATGTGAGCTAGGTATTATGAATCATACCTGAAATCTTAGCATTGGCGAAGCTGAGGTAGGAGAATTGCCATGAGCTTTAGGGAAGTTTAAGGTACTCAGGGAATTCAAAGTCATCCTGGGCATACTATTGAGTGAAACTGTGTCTTAAAACAAAAAAAGAAGGAAAAGTATACAGGGCATTCCTGTAATCTTAGCATTCAGCAGACCAAGGCCAACCTTGGCTACGGAGTGAGTTTGCAGCCAGCCTGAGATACATGAGACCTTGTCTTTAAAAAATGGAAAAGGAGAGAAAGGTTTTTTCCTGTTTTTTTTTTTTTTTTTTTTTTTTTTTTTTTTTAGAGAGGTTTCAGTCCATGGTCACTTGGCCCCACTGCTTTGGGCCTGTGGTGGCAATGTACATTGTGGCAGGAGCATGTGGCAGTTGAGGTCTGTTCATGGTACCCAGAAGGAGAGACAGGAAGGAGCCAGGTTCCCAGGATCCTCTCCAAGGCCAGTACTCCCTAATGACCTAACTTCCTCCCCACAGTTCCTACCACCTCAAGGTTCCACCCACCTTCCAATAGTGCTAAAAGGTGGGAAACAGTCAAAACATGGGCTATAACCTGTAGTAGTCTGTACCCTGATCTTCTGGAACAGGGAGATGTGGCTGCTGGGGATTGGCGAGAAGCAGGCAGCTGCAGTGACTAACAGCTGTGGCTAACCCAGAGCATGGGCTCCACTCCATCCAGGAGGCAGTTTGCAGGCAGACCTCTCCTGTCTCCATGTTCAGTTAGGGTGGGAAGTTTCAGATTCCCACTGGGCATCTCACCTCACCCTGCACCCAGCCGCTCTCCTCCTTACAGCCAGCACTAAGTTATGTGTCCACTGAACTTGCTTCTGTAAGTTGCAAGGGAGGGCAGCTGGGGTCCTGGATTCCCTTTTTCATTTACACTGCTTTTTTTCAAAAATTTGTCTATTTGCCTACATGTATTTAAGCATACCGTGTTGTGCAATGCCTGCAGAGGCCAGAAGAGAGTGTCAGATCCCCTGGAACTGGAGGTATAAACAGTTGTTAGCCACAATGTGGGTGCTGGGAATTGAACCCAGGTCCTCTGCAAGAACAGTCAGTACTCTTAACTCCTGAACCATCTCTCCAGACCCCTGCACTGCATTTTAAAATTAAATTTAAAAAATATATCCTACTAGGTGCATGTACATGGCCAAGAGCATGCCACACCATGCATGCAGAGGTCAGAGGACAATTTTCTGACATCAGTTCTCTCCTACTGTGTGGGTCTGAGGGCCGGAACTCAGGTTGTCAGACTTGAAGGCAAACACTTTACCTGCTGAGTGATCTCACAGCCCCTGCACCACATTTTTGTTTCTTTGTTTTCTTTTTCTTTTCCCCAGTTTGAGCAGAGGTCTATTTAGCAAAGCAGCAGAAGTTTAGTTCTTAACGCTAAAGAAAGTGAGCTCTCCAAAGAGAGATTGGCGTGGGCTGCCCCAAGGCAGGGAGCAGTCTGCATGGCATTTTTCTGAAATGACTTTTAAACCCAGTCAGGCAGAGAGATGAAGTTTCACCAAAATGAGCCATCAGAGGACCTTAAATTGTAGCTATGAGGAAAATGCAGATTTTTCTTATCTGCTTAGCAGATGGCAATGTGTTGGTATGTGATGGGATGATTCTTAATAACCATCAAGTATTCATTGGGATTTTTTGTTGTTGTTTTGAGACAGGTGCCCATGTCATCCGGGCTGGCCTGAAACTCACTATGTAGGCAAGGATGACTTTGAACTTCTGAGCTTCCTACCTACACTTCCCAAGTACTGGGATTATAGGAGTATGCCATCACACCTGGTTTATGCAGTATAGGGATCCAAGCAGGGGCTCTGTACATAGTAGACAAGCACTCTACCAACTGAGCTACATTCCCAGCCCTGTAGCCCCAGCTGACCTGGAACTCACTATATACCAGGCTGGCCTCGAACTCCTGCCTCTGCCTGCTGGGATTAAAGGCTTGTACCACCATGCTCGGCTCGGCATCAGGACATTTCTAAAAGTCTAAAATGAAGTCCTTGGATATTGGATGATGATGAAATTTCCTATCTAGAATTTTCCAATGTCCTTTGTGCTTTCTAGGTTGCCCTTGATAGGACTCTGTGAACAGACAAACTGGCTAGCATTAGTCTGTGTTTATCATTAGCCATGGGGGAAAATGCACTAGATTCAGGTCTTTCATGCCTATGTATCCAGCCCCACTCTACAGAGGAGCACCAGGGTCCCAGGGCTGGAGAAACTTGCCAGAGTTTATAGTCCACAGAATCAGGTCTGATTAAGCCTGCTGGACTCCAGAAAGAACCTATGTTCCATCCCTTACAACCTACAGTGGAGGCCAGCAAGAAGGCTCAGCCAGTAAAGACAACTCTTGATTCTCCTGACTCAACCTCAAGTGCTAAAAGTTGTACATAATACACCACCATGCCTGGCTCTCTTTGTCTTCTTGAATGAAAATGTCATCATGGGATTCTATGGATTTTCAGGATATTGTTTAAGGCTCTATTGATACTGTCAAATTCACTTTGGAGTGGGGAATGTCTAAAAGCCTGATTGAAATTAGTTTGTTTTTTTACTTTGCAAATTTAAGTTTTTATTCCTGAATTTATTATACATAATGATGGGTTTCCTTGTGGTATTTTCATACTGTGTATAATGGATTTTGATCATGCTAGTCCCCACTACCCTCCCACTAAGCCTTTTCCTCTTCTCAACTGGTTCCCTTCAACTTTGATGCCTTTTTCTTTTTTGGTGAGCCAATGAGTTTAATTAGGGTTATTTAGAGGAGCATGGGTGAGGGGTTATTCATAGGGACGTGGGCAACTTACCAGTAGCTACATCATTGAAGAAAATGTCTCTCCCTCTCCCAGCTACCATTAGGTGTATATAGATCCTCAGGTAGGCATGGGGCCTCATGCGCCCCTTATCCTTGAAATTGGTAATTGATTTATTTACTGTTTAAAAATATTTATTTTATTTTATGTGTATGTGTGTTTTGCCTGCATGTATGTAAGTATACATATGGGTGCTGGGAATTGAACCTGGGTCCTCTGGAAGAACAGTTGGAGTGTTCTTAACTGCTGAACCATCTCTCCAGTACCCCATTTATTTAAGTTTAATTTTATGTATTTGTGTGTAAATATCTGTCTCTGTGTGTAGGAGTGTTTGTGCACGTGTATGCAGGATATGATGTCCTCCTTGATCACGCTCTGCCTTTTCCTTTGAGGCAGGGTCTCTCCCTGAACCTGGGACTCCTGTTTTCTCAGCTGGAAGTCAGCAATCACCAGGGCTTCTCCTGCTCCACCCCACCTTTGGGAGCTGGGGTGACATGCATTTGCAGTGACTTTTGGCTTGTTATGTGGGTTGTGCACTGGATGGGCACTCATGACTTCAGAGCAAGCACTCTTAACCATCACCAACACAGAAATTGATTATTTTTTTAGTGCTTTCAGCAACCTTGAAATCCATGCTGAATTCAGCTGTGTTCTAGGATAACATTACACATACATCCCACACTGGGGATTGAACCCAGTGACCTGAGCATGCTAGACAAGTGCTCTACCACTGAGCTACAACCCTACTTACAACCCTAATGACCTTTTTTTTTTTTGTCTCTTTTGAGACAGGGTCTCCCTGTAGCCCCAGCTGGCCTGGACCTCACTATGTTGACCAGGCTGGCCTTGAACTCACAGAGAGCCACCTTCTGCTGCCTCCAGAGTGCTGGGATTAAAGGTGTGCACCACCATGCCCGGCTTGATGCCTTTTCTTGAGTGGTTGCTGGCTTACTCCTTTGTGCCCTTACCCATTCTACACTTTCAATTTCATGTGTCCACATCCCTAAACAAAGGCAAAATGAACCATGTTTCCACTGTGAGCTGGGGCTTGATAGCTGTCGGTCTTCACTTGGATTCCCTTGAGAGTGTTCTGGGTGTGGTTTGGGGATGATTCTTTATAGGGAAGAGAAATATGTCCTTGCAATTTAAAATGTTCCACTTTTTGAAATAGTGGCTGGAACTTGGGTTCATTCCAAGTCATCAAGGTCCTGAGCCAGACTCTTTCTCCACATGACCTGTTCACCTGGCATGATACACTGGCTTTCCACAATATGCTCCATACTTGCTGGGCAGGGGTGGCCTGGGCTATCCCGGATCCCACAGAGGCTGTGCAGTTTCTGCGTTTTACAGACCTAGTGGCAAAGGAACGTGGAAAGTGGTTACTATATATTCCAGTACGGTGTGCTCACCTGCAGTCTGCCTTGTAAGCATGAGAACTTGAGTGCAAATCCCTAGAACCATGTTAACCGCTGGGCACAGCAGCATGTGCCAGTAATTCCAGCCCTGAGAGATGGCAGGTGGAGACAGGAGGATTCCCAGACACTGGCAAGCCAGGTAGCCTGGCCTACATGGCAAAGTTCCAGGTCAGTGAGAGAACTTACCTCAAACAGAAAGTGGAGGTGAGTGAGGGTTGACACCTGAGGTTATCGTCTGTTCTCTCTCTCTCTCTCTCTCTCTCTCTCTCTCTCTCTCTCTCTCATCTCTCTCTCTCTCTCTCTCTCTCTCTCTCTCTCTCTCTCTCTCTCTCTCTCTCTCTCAAATGAACCTACCCCGAGAAGCAGAGCATGTGACCTAACTTGTCCTTCCTTTTCCTCCCACCCCAGGTTTCCATTGTTTACAGCCGTGTATCAGATCTGCTATGAAGGCAGGCCTGTCACAGAGATGCTGTCCTGCCTGCAGAGTCACCCTGAGCACATCTGAAGGAAACCAGGCTGCCAGCTAGGGACAGCTCGGCCTCACCTGTCCCAGGATTACCTGGAAACCAGGACTTGGCCACCATCCCTGTACTCCTATCCTGAACACGTGTGAATTGTGCCAGCTTCAGTTCTGTGTTGGGAGGCACGTCCCTGGCTAAGATGTATTGGGTAACAACTAAGCACACATGTGAATGTGTGTATGTGCATTTCTCATTCTGTGGGTGTGTCTATGAGCCAACATCAGATGTGTGTTTTAATGATCACATTTGAAATTTCCCCTCTAAGGCAGCCTGTGAGATCAGTACTATCTCAGTTAAATTCTGTGGATGTGATTCATACATATATGAGGGAAGAATTATTTTTCTCATTCTCTTGGTGATACAGTTAACCAGCATAACAATGGTAAACATAATGGCAGAGTGGGTATGTCTGATGAACACCATATTTAACTTTTAAACACTATCTCAAAGCCAGCAGAATGAACTACTTGGATCATTTTTAACAATTAGGTGTTTTAATTAGATAGTCCACTTACACGTTTCTTCTCCCTGTGGATGTTGCGGTTTTGAGCCTCCTTTCTCTTCGTTGGCTGCATGAATGGACTTGTGGACAGACCCAGCAGTAGCAGAGGATGGAGAGCTCACCTGGCTCGCTCACCCCTGCTGTAACGCACACATTCTTTTAACAACAGACACTGTATGATGCTCTGTGTTAGGTGCGGCTTTTCTGTAACCATATCTCTGCAAGCTTACAGAACCCTGGAGGGGACTGTTGTCATGTAAGAAACCACAGTTGTACCTGGTCACCAGGGGACATGGCCCAGAGCCCGGTGCACCATACTTCACCCCTCTAAGGTAGGACCTGCAAAGACTGTACTGGGCCCCTCTGATAACTAGCTAATTGGTTATGGAAATGCCCCCATGCACTTCCTAGGGCCACAGAAGGTCTTCCTGAGAGGGAGATTCATGTGGCTTGAAGTCTCCATGGTAACCACTCCAAGTGTCCCCAGTCCAGCAGAAATGGTTGTCCTAGGAATGCAGGTTTCCAGCACCACCACCACCCGCCCACCCCGGGCATCAGGAGAGGCCCTGTGTTTCACCATGCCTTCTGCACATTTCTGATTCTCACTACAATTTGAGAACCACTGCATTAGAGAACTTACTTGAGTGTGGCCTTCTATAAACCGTGTTCTAGAGGGGACAAGAGTCCCAGGGTCAGTGGCTATTCCAGTGGACTCTGGAATGCTCCAATGAGTTTGGGAAAAACCACCTCACCCTTCTGGAAGGTGTAACCTATATGCTAAAACCTAAATCGAATCTGTTGACTTATTCCAGCAAGTTCCAAACTCATTAGACTATGGAGGTTTTTTTGTTTTGTTTTTGACAAGGATATTAGCCAAAGTTTACAGGGAATATTGCTATAGGGTAAAGTGACCCCCGATCCCTGAAAGAAATTAGGATGACTAACTGCTTATGATATTGCTTGTTCTGTGTAGCCCAGGCTAGACTCAAAATTGTCATCTTCCTGCTTCTGCCTCCAGAGTAGCTGGAATTACCATGCCCAGCTGCTATTTGTAGTTTTTTTGAGATTTAAGGTTTAGTTCTGCCCTGAATCTTTAAGGAAGCTTTCGGGTAACATGGGCAAGTACCGACAAGTAGATGCCAACCCCGCTGAAACGCACATTGTTATATTCTAGAATTAAAGTGGGAATGACTTTCTCTATTTAAAAATGAGTCTCATTTCAGAATAGCATTCCGGGAGTGTTCAAAGAACATATGAACTTCAAGCAATCATGTGTTTTAGTTTGTGAACTTTTGGTTTCCCCTCCCTTGTCCTGGTTTGGTATTCCCTGCCCCAACCCCTTCTATAATTGAAATGATTGTAAAATAGATTTTTATGGAAAAAATTTTAACTATCCCAAAGGACTTTGGGAGCATTATAAAGCCCATACCTAAAAGCCTCTGGAAACACCAGGCTGCTCACCCAGCAGTTTTAGTAACAATGTTAACTTAGTCAATTTTTCTCTTGTCTCCTGATAAATCTTTTTAAAAGTTTGTACATAAATGGCAAAGAATTGCTTTTTAAGATATAAGAAGGGCTGTAAGCTAACTGGTGTCTACCAAGTAGGATGATCCGCCATTAGGATCTTGTTTTGTATTGTTGTTAACATTTTACTTCCTCTCCGGGTCTCGTACTTCCGAATCCCTCCTACCTAAAACCCCTTTACTGATGTCCCTCTTGAACATATTTATCATAAATGGAAAAAGAGAAATTCTTTAAGCTTGTGCTCCACCAACCAGAAATATTACTCTATGAGTGAGTCATTTATTTTTTGTAAGCACCGGCTGATTGACAGGTCTTACTAGCTATGGCCATTGGGATGGAGACACCTAGATTAGAAACCTAACCTGCAGTATTTCAGCCAACCTGTGAATGTAAAACTACACTTTTGCCTTGATACTGAGCACCCTGTTATAGTGTGGGACAAATCCCTGTCTGGAAATCCAACCCCCCCACCCCCCAGGGATGGAATTGAGCCAGACTTCTAGTGTTTTAACTTTATAACTCAGCCCACAGCTACCCTAAGGAGGGTATTGTGCTGAGAGGCTGGTGTCCAAAGGGAATTTTAATTTCTCTGCCAGTTCATATTGGCTAACCTCTTACTTACATATGTACTGTGTTTACAAACTATAGGTGGATAATTTAAAGGTTTGATTTAATAAACAATTCCTCAAACCCGTGCTGGAGAGTATTTTTCTTTTTCAGTTTTGTGAGAATGAAGGAGTTTCCTGTAGCTCCAGCTGGTCTTGAACTTGCTACATAGCAAAGACTGACTTTCAACCCCTGACCCTCATGGCTGTAGCACTGAAGTCGCAGGATACAGGCATGCACCATCATGCCTGACTGTCCATTTTTTTCTATTTTATTTATTATTATTACGTGTGTGTTTATGTGTGTGTGTGCTGGCACACAGGTGCCACAGTGCTCTTGGGAAGCTCTCTCCTTCCACTATGGGTTCTGGAGATCAAACTCAGGTCTTCAGGCTTGTACAGCAAGTGCTTTTACCCACTGAGTCCATCTTGCTGGTCTCCTGTTTTTCTTTTTATCAACTTAGTTAACAGTTATATATAGGTCAGCTCTTTAAATTAATTTTTTTATGTGCATGAGTGTGTTGCTTGTATGTATGTAAGTGCACCCATGTGAGTGATGCCCATGGAGGCCAGAAGAAGGTGTTGGATCCCTTGGAACTCGAGTTACGGACAGTTGTTAGCCGCCATGTGGGTGCTGGGATTCGAACCTGGGTCCTCTGCAAGGACAGCCAGTGCTCTTAACTGCTGAGCCATCTCTCCAGCTCCTCCCTCACCTGAATGTTTATATCCAGGAAATCATAAGCAAAGAATTACATAAAAGCTAGAACTTGGATAAGTAATAGGAGTTGATAACAGGAAAAAGCAAACAAACACCTGCAGAAATCTGCCTTCTATCCAGGCTGCGTGCGCTTCCCATAAAAATTATAAAATCAAGCTTTTATTTATTTTGGGTTTTGTTTTTTTTTTTTGAGTCTGAGTCTCACTATGTAGACCGGAGTGGCCTTGGGCTCAGAGATTGCCTGCCTCTGCCTCCAGAGTGCTGGGATTAAAGGCCATTTTTTTATGTGTGTGTACATTCCTTGGAGGCCCAAGTTTGACTTCAGGAGTCTTCGATGGCTCTCCACCTTATTCACTGAGACAGGGCCTCTCAGTTGATCCCAGAACTCACCTATGTCGCTACTCAGATAGACACTCTACTCTGAGAATCCCCTATCTCTACTGTCCAAGCCCGGGAGTCACCTGCCACCCAGCTTTCTCATGGGTCCCAAGGATCTGAACTCTGGTCTTCACGCATGCACAACAGGCACTTTAACCACTGAACCATCTCCTCAGCCCCTTAAAAGTCAAGTTTTCTGAAGTAGGAATTAAACTCCCTGAATTTCAGATAATTGAGTAATAATAGATATTAAATAACTTTGATATAAATATTTTTAAATCTTAACAATCAGTATTGTTGGGGAGCTACAGAGATGGCTCAGCAGTTAAGAACACTGGCTGCTCTTGCAGAGAACCTAGGTTCAGTTCTTAGTACCTACATAGTGGCTAACAATCATCCGTAACTCCAGTTGCAGGGGATCTGATACCTTCTTCTGGTTTCTGAGGGCATTACATGCACAGATCCACTTACATACATGCAGACAAAACACTCAAACACATTAAAAAAAAAAAAAGAATATTGTCAAATGTCCGTCCTACTGAAGGCAATCTTTTGTCTTTTTGAGACAGGGTCTCCTTGTAGCTCCAGCTGGCCAGAAATTCACTGTGTAGACAAGGCTAGCATCTTACATTCTTGTGTGTGGGAAGGGGGGTGTATAGTATGTTCCTGTGTTTGAGGAAGCACAAGCATGTATGTGTAGAAGCCAGAGGTGACATCAGATGTCCTCCTCCACTGCTCTCTATATATTGAAGCATAGTCTCTCACTTAAACCCAGAACTTATAGGTTCACCTAGTCTAGCTGGCCAGATAACCTAAAATAATCTTTAATTAGGCTTGGGATCTGCCACATTCCAACCTCTGTACAGTTGCTCAAGTTCTGATCAGTTCATCAACCTTGCAGGGGGAGCAGTGGAAGGGGGGCTTCTTTCCAGAAACTTTCATTACAGAAGTGACAAGAAATACAGAAGGCAGAGGCAGTGTTTTAGTAGGGGCAAAAACCCAGCCAGACCAGAATTAAATGCACCCTTTCACTTTTATGTTATATTCTATTATATAGCCCATGAAAGTTTTATCCCATGGTCTTTATGACTTTATGATTGCATGTAAACTTTTTATATGGGGAAAATAGGTTGTGTGAGGAAGCTATACACATAGTATTAGACTAATTGCCAGGACAGTGATAGCCTGCTGCTATCATTATGCCAAGTCAGTTAACTATTTGGGCAGCCCATTTTTGTTCTTGACTAGTGGGAATAACAGCTATGCAGCCTGCCTCCAGAAATTACTACCAAGGTCAGAAGAGCTTAAAATATTTAAGGAGAGCCAGGCATGGTGCCACACATATTTAATCCCAGTATTCTGGAGGCAATGGAAGGTGAATCTCTGTGAGTTCAAGGCCAGCCTGGTCTACATAGTGAGTTCCAGGCCAGCTGGGGCTACAGGGAGACCCTGTCTCAAAAAGACAAAAAAAATTTAATGAAAAAATTGTGATAGCAATATGCTGCTTAAGGAAGAAATTGCACAAAATTATTTTGCTTTTTTTCCCCCCTGTAGTTACATATCTCAACTACATTGCCCAGCTACCCTGTGATCACAAAATTGTTTTTGCTTTTTGTGGGGGGGCTTGGATTTGAGACAGGGTCTCCCTGTAGCTCCAGCTAGCCTAGAACTCACTATGTAGACCAGGGTGGTCTGGAACTCAGAGATCTGCCTGCCAATGCCGCCCGAGTGCCATCACCTCTCCCTTCTGGCCTCTGTGGGCATCTTCACAGATACACACATGACCACAAACACATAAGTAATAAATTATTATTTTTAGTTTTATTTATTTTTATTTTATGTGTATGAGCCTATTGCGTGCATGTATGCAAGTGCACCTGTGTCATGCAATACTTGCAGAGGACAAAAGAGGGTGTCAGATCCCCTGGAACTGGAGTTACAGATGGTTGTTATCCCCTCCATGTGGGTGCTGGGAACCAAATCCTCCTTGCTCTGCAAGAGCAGCCAGTGCTCTTAACCAGCAGCTATGCCATCTCTCCAGTCCAAATCAATTATTTTTTTAAGATTTATTTTATTCTCAAACATGCATGTGTGTGTGTGTGTGTGTGTGTGTGTGTGTGTGTCTATGTATGTGCACATGAGGCCCACAGAGTCCAGAGCATTGGCTCCCCTGGAGCTGGAATTACAGTGCTTAGAATCAAACCCAGGTCCCCTGGAAGAGCAGCACATGTTCCTAACCACTGAGCAATCTCTCCAGCCCAAAATAAAATTATTTTTTGAAAACGGGTTTCACTATGTAACTTTGGCTGTCCTGGAACTCACAATGGAGACCAGGCTGGCCTTGAATTCACAGAGATCTGCTTCTGCCTCCCCACTGCTGGGGTCAAAGGCATGTACCACCATGCCTGGCAAAAACTAAATCTTAGCCAGGGGTGGTGGCAATACCTTTAATCCCAGAACTCAGGAGGCAGAGGCAGGCAGATCTCTGAGAGATTAAGGCCAGTCTGGTCTAATAGGGAGTTCCAGGCCAGTTGTGGCTACAGGGACAGCCTGCCACAAAAAGATAGATAGATGATGATATAGATAGATAGATAGATAGATAGATAGATAGATAGATAGATGATTGATAGATAGATAGATAGATAATAAATTAATTAATAAAATTATCTTTTTTAAAAAATAAGAAAGCTAGAACTAGCCAGTATGGTGGCACACACCTTTAGACCCAACACTCAGGAGGCAGAGGCAGGTTATCATCAGATAAAGCCTGATTTCTCCCTTTTATAACAGAAGTTCACTCCTGTACCAAAACAAAAAACAAACAAAAGGGCTGAAGAGATGGCCCAGTGGTTAAGATCACTGACTGCTCTTGCAGAGGAACTGGGTTCAATTCCCAGCGCCCACATGGCGGCTACAAACTGTCCTTAACTCCAGTTCCGGGGAATCCGAAGCCCTCTTCTGACCTCCTCGGCATTGCACAACACAGGTGCACTCACATACATGCAGGCAATACACTCACACATAAAATAAAATTTAAAAATAATAAAATTAAAAAAAAAAAAACTAGTTCAGCCTTAGTTTCAAAAGACTTTGGAAGCAGGAGGATAACTGAACCCAGGAGTTGTAGACCAGCCTAGGCACAGGCAGAGTGAAGGGGTATAGGAGGCAGGCCAGCACAGTGAAGACGAGGGTCCAGGAGAGGCCTACACCCAAGTTCACATTCATTTCTCTTTTTTCTTTACCTATTTTATTATTATTTATTAATTTGTTTAGTTGGTGCTGGGGACTGAACTTAACATGTTAGGAAAGCACACTCCCACTTAACTACACCCTGAGCCCCAACATTTCACTTCTCCAGGGGACTTTATATATCTTGCAGGCAGGCCATCCTTCAGGATTTATTCCTTCGGAGCCCTGTTCTAATTTTCCCAGCATGGAAAAGCCATCGGGAGTCAGTTCATTGGTGCATTACCCATAGTGACCACTTGAGGGCAGCACTTTGCAAGGGTTATTCCACCACTGTCGTCGATTCAACCGATACAAATGATGATCCTGCAGATTCATGCTGCGTCAGTTTGTGACCTGGGCATTGACTTGGGAAGATTAGCCTGAGGAGGTGACCCATTAACCGTCCAGCAGTACGGAAATGTGATGGTTTACACTGACTGTCAACTTGACAGGACCTATAATCATATTGTCCCAACCTTTGGGCATTTGGGCATTGTAAAGATGACCCAGGGTTAAGAACACTTTCTGTTCTTCACTAGGAGATCCTAGCTCAGTTCCCAGCACTCACAACTGTCTTTAACTCCCCAGCTCCAGGAGATTCAACATCATCTTCTGGAACTCTAAGGCTATCTGCACTCGTGTATATACCCAAATACAAAACATATAATTGAAAAAATAAAAAGAAATCTTTAAAAAACTAAAACCTGATGTGGAGGTGCATGCCTTTAATCTCTGCACTTGGGAGGCAGAAGCAGGCAGATCTCTC